TGAGAATTTGTTGATATCTCATCTTGATATGGAAACATGAGAGAACTTCATTCTGGAGCTCTTTCATCGAAGCCTAGAACTATAAAATATATGTAGTACACAAATACAAAACATACAGAAGCATCCAGCTCTATCATAAGGGAGTCGTGGGATACATTTTCATGATCAACTAGATCAATGATGATGAGCATTATTTCTGAAACAAATTAAAGATTTATAACTACTCAGTTATAATATTTATTGAATAAATGGAAAGAAAGTATTTTCAATGCTAGTTTCTTCCCTACCTCCATCTCTGCTCACATGCAGTTCGATGATTCTCCCTATGTTCATGTTGTTATGAGAGGTTGTCCCCCATTGGCAACTTAACGGTTTATTCATTGGCTAAATTGGTCAACAAATTCCTTTTTTTTCCAATTGATTAGATGATATCATGCTCTATCGAACTGCCGCGTTCGATTTGGATTCAAATGGTTCGGGGGGGTCTGTCAACGTTGCCACTGAGCTCTTCCATTTTGCCTTACTTATGTGTTATCTGAGCATCCCTGTTGCTTCGTCTTACTCGTCTTAGTTCTACTCCTCCTTTCAAAGTTGTTTCCTCGTTTGATGAGATTTCCAGTTTATAGTTTGTGATTCTGATTTTTCAATGTATATGTGTGAAGTCCCATGCTTTCGATAGATCGGGCGGAACAAACGATCTTGATGATATGTTGTCGTTCTGTTCGTTCTCTTTCTCAATAACCCCACCCCCCTAGTTAACTGTCACTGTTTCGATCATGTGGACTACACCGCTATGAAGCCTTCATTAAAGTAAGAAATGAAAAAGTAGTTATCAGAAATTTAGATGATTTTGTTATTTATCGAAGGATTCAACCAGAGGAAGAGTTGCAGCTGTCTATTTATGCAACTGTTTCAGGCGTTCTTCCAACTGCTAAGCAGCAAACTGTTCTGTTTCCTCAAATGGGAAAAAAACTCAACTGTTGTTATCATTATTGTTATGTCCGTTTCTGAATCCTACCTATTCAATCAGCAATTGCCCGATAATGAAACATACATAATGCTCAATGATATTCTGACGATTTGTAACTGTGTAGCTTTCGGTTTCAGTTATCTGATCATCTACTTGTCACCTCCAAGTAAGGAGTCTTATTACTACAAGTTATTGTTACACTGCCAAGCAGTAAGTAGAACATTTCCTCTCGTTTCGAATTGTGTCTTCCAGGTGTTCATGTTTCTGTTTTCTATTGTATGGTCTTTGCTTCTGAAATACATTATTCATCTCAATTATAATTTTTTCTATTGTGAAGGATATTGTAACGTAATAGGCTTAACATGCGCAAACGGCTATGTACTGCTCTGCCTCCTATTGGGAAGTTATGCTTTCTGTATTGTATGCAGTTATTTCTTCCGCTTGTACTTGGTTGTCGATCATACTCATTACCTTAGGGTGAGCGGGTGCCAGCATCAACTTCAGATTCACCTCTCATCTTCTTCCAGACACCTTATCTCTTTCCTATCATTTGTTTCATTCTTGAATTTGTTTTCGGGTTCTCAACGGCAATCTCATTCTGTATCGGATATAGCGAGTTTACCCTCAATGGCCTTCCGTTCAATGTAAGTTAATAAGCTGACCTTCTATACCAGGTTGTTCCAGTTCTCAAAACAGCAGTTGGATTACCTCTCAGTAAGGACAGTTGCATCTTATACATTACAAAGTTTTAAACAGATTTTTCACCCTGTTTACTTAGTTTTCTTGCTACTCATAGTGTTCACAGTAAGTTTATCTTATTCTCATGTTTCGGTGCAGTCTGTGAACCTCGATTATGAGCTATATTTCAGATGATTCTATTTGCTACCTATGAGATAGTTCGTACTATCCATAAGAAACAAAATTTCATATCGGCTGGAACTTCCAGCCATCATCTGAAAGTGCTGAAGATTCTGACAATCCAGGTAATTTTCATTTTGAATATGTTCTCATTGATTTTTAAGGTGTTAAGCTTTGCATTACTGACTTGCTGTGTTCCTATCGTAATGCTATCATCGTTGATCTTCTATATACATGCATGTACAGTTTGAGGTGGGGAATTAGTCAGTATCTTTGATTTTTAGTTTTGATTCATGGCTTTGCGTTACTGTTGGGTGCCAACTCTTCAGCCCAGTCTGTTCTGACGATCTGTTTGAACCCGGTCTTCAGGAAAACTGCTATTACCCTCATCGGCCGAGTACCGAAGACTGTGAGTTATGAGGCACTAGACACTCATATCTGCTGTAGATAAGCTCGTTGCAGACATTAACGAATGCTCATAAAATAGGTTGACTTTCAACTCGGCGTTGTTTCTTCAGGCTCGGACTCAAATTAAAGATTTTACTTGGAACATGTTGCGCGTATGAGCAAATGATGATTATTTCCTTCTTTGTTTTTTTTTAAAGATTAATGATTAGTTTCTTTGCAACTCTTTCGCTTGGAAAAATGTAGTGGTTTTAGTAAGCATTATGTGTTCGGCTGTCAACAAAGCTCGAATCTTTTTCGAAATTGTTTTCTAAACGGCTACATGAATTGTGTGTGTCCGTTTTGGACAGTTTCGGATAAAACGCAACCTCTTGATGCGTTTCATGTACTTTAGTAGTTTGATAGGCGATGTACTCTGTTACTTATTTTCAAACCTTTGATCAACTTTCTGATCTCTTCGATTCTTTCTGTAACACTGGTAGTACCACTGGTCTATAGAGGTTAAGGATGTCATGTCTCTGTCTTGATAGTCTCCTCTCTTACCAGCCTATTATGTCTTTAAGGTGCTTCGTATTTCGTAGGATTGTAAAGCCTCCTTCGTCTGCTATGAACAAGGTTCTTATACTAATCTGTATCATTTGATTCTCCGAACCTTTTGACTTAGTTGAAACATAATCTTATTTGCTCCTGTGAACTTTCCCAACATTTTTCGTTTAAAAATATATTTTTCGATGTATTGTTTTTTGTAATCGCAACTCTCTGTTTTCTTCAATGATAGAATCCAAGAATAGCCTTCTAACAAAAAAAAGTTTTCTTGATTTGGTCAATTTTTCAAGAAGTTAGAGTGATTTGAATTCACAATCGTGCACGTGCACAACCGCTCTACACGTAAACCGCGTATTGCGGAATGAAAGTGGCGTGAGCATGAGCACGACCGTTTAACTCCTAGGCGAAATGAGAAATGAAATTGGTTCTTTTTCATTTTCATCGCCCAAATAAAAAATGCGCGGTGTCCTCCCGCGAGCTTTAAAGTTTTAGAACTTTCTTAATTCTCAACCGATTTTTGAAATTTTTTAAAATTTGATATTGTTTTTTAACTATTTGAAAACTAGAATGGGAGAGAGATAAATTGAGGAAAGAAGGAGAAACACGACGTATC